CGAATCACGTCAAACGACGTCCGTTTTCAACCAAATTTCACAGGAATGACTTAAACCATATATAAGACCTGTACCGGGCACCGGAACCAAAATATGGGCCCGATACCAACACGTTCAATTTAATTTTCATTTCAAATTTCCTTAAATAATTTCAGAAAATAATTTTACAAAAAAATTCATTTCTCGGGCTTGGGACCTCGGAATTCGATTCCAGGCATACGTCCAAGTCCCATATTTTCCTACGGACCCTCCGGGACCGTCAAATCACGGGTCCGGGTCCGTTTACCCAAAGCGTTGACCAAGGTCAAATTTATTCATTTTAACATCAAAACTTAGTATTTTTCACAGAATTTCATATTTAAGCTTTCCGGCTACGCGCCCGGACTATGCACGCAAATCGAGGCGACTCTAAATGAGGTTTTCAAGGCCTCGGAGACACAGAATTCAATTAAAACAGGTGATAACCCTTTGGATCGTCACAGATATATATAGGAAATGCTGAATCCCCTGAAATTCTTGTGTCACTACAAGAAATGTGATTTTTAACCACGAAATTATTAGCTACGATAGAAAATTCGTCACCAATTATTCACCTTTTGTGACAAAAATTACATTTCGTACTTAAATCCATGAGTCATATACTTTTAGTGACGAAACACAAACTTCGTAGCAAAAATTTTGTCTACTAAGGTTTCCCACCAAAAACATGGGTTGGCGCCAATTATTGAGAAACATTAGCCACAAAAATAAATTATCAGTGACAATTAATTTTGTCACTGATGCTGCAAATAATTTGTGACAAACCATCATTTATCTAAAAAAATAGTTAAATTTTGGAGACAAAAAAGTTTCGTCACTAAAAATACATTGTTAAAATAGCAACGAAATAAAATTTGTATTTAAATCGTACAAACTTTTGGCATAAATTTTATATTCATTTGTGACTTTAGCTTTTGTCACTAATAATATACACAGTTAGTGATAATATATGCAGGCAATTTGTGACAAAATTAGTTGTCTCAACTTTAATTAAAGTTTGGATACGAGAAAAGTACCGTCACTAAAAAATTGTTGTTAAAATAGTGACAAAATAGACTCTGTCGTTAATAGGTACACACTTTTAGCCATAAAATTTTGTTTTTATTGTGACTTCATTTTTTATCACTAACTAGTGTTAGAACCCGAGCGATACGAATAATTTAACAGAATATTAATCTTATAAAATTAAGATCTAATATAATATATTATTTTAATAAAAATTAGTTGTTATTTAATTATTTAATATAACAAATCTATACAAAGTCAAAAGATAAACATTATATAGTAATCAAATAAATTATTTGTCCCTTATTTATTTTTTATTATTATTAAACTAGCAAGTACTTAGTACTATATATTTGCTAATATGACTTTTTATTAACTTGTCAACTGGCTTAATATTTTGATACTACTTCTCTTTAATATAACATAGATATAGATTTTCTTACTCTGAAATATTTTTTAAAAACTTTATGTTATACTGTTCAAAATTATTCAATTGTCTAAATTTATCAATAATTTTCTTGTGTGCTATTTTTTTATTAATTATTTTAAAATATAAATATCATAAAATTATCTTGACCCCCTCTTTTCGTATATTCTTTTCTATTGTAATATTTGATTAGTTTTCTCATTTTGTATTTTACTGAAAATTTATATAATATAATATTTTTTTTACTAAATTATCATTTTTAATTCATCAAAAGTATAAAGAGATAGGCTTTTATTATTTTTATAAGAAATCTATCAATATTTTTAATAATTATTAATTTATGCTATATATAATATATTTTTAATGTATAATCTTCTAAATTTTCATATTTTTATTGTAAAATTATGAGTTCTATTTATTAACTAAAATTTTCTACCCGAGAAATTTAATTAGTATATATATTTATACGATTTCACTTGAAATTCTTTTTTTTTAAAGTATTTTTCGTTTATGACTATTTGTTAATTAATTATGATTTTAGGTATGTGTATATGTACGACTTTTCTCATCATAATTTTAATTATAAATCTTATATTTTAATATTTTCCAACAAATTTATATTTTTGTAACGATCCGACCAGTCGTTTTGAGCTCTAGCGCGTCGTTCAGTAGTTTGAGGCCATGAGCAGCTTCACTTCGGGTATTGTGACTTGTACGCGTGGTCGGAATTGAAATTCAGGAAGTTCGGAGATGATTTAGAAAGAAAATTCTCATTTCGGAAGCTTTAAGTTGGAAAAATTGACTAAGATGGAGTTTTTGAACAAACGACCTCGGAATCAGGATTTGAAGGTTCCAGCAGGTTCGTATGATAATTTCGGACTTGAGCATATGTTTGGATCGGGTTTTGAATAACCCGGGAGCGTTTCGGCGCCTATTGTGGAAGTTAACATCTTGGAAGAATTTCATAAATTTGGATTGAAGTGCGTTTCAATGTTATCGATGTCCGTTTGGGATTCAGAGTCTGAGAATATCTCCATATAGTGATTCTGGTATTGGGAGCGCGTCCTGAAGTGAATTTGGAGGTTCGCATGTCATTTTGGAGTCGTTTGGCGAAAGTTAGAAATTTGAAGGTTTTTAAGAAGTTTGACCGGAAGGGGACTTTTTGATATCGGGGTCGAATTCCGATTCTGAAAGTTGGAGTAGGTCCGGAATGTGGATCATGGCTTGTGTGCAAAATTTGAGGTCAATCGAACGTGATTTGATAGGTTTCGACATCAAATATAGAAGTTTGAAGTTCTAAAGTTCATTAAGTTCGAATCAGGGTGTGATTCATGATTTCGATGTTGTTTGATGTGATTTGAGGCCTTGAGCAGGTCCGTGGCATGTTGTGAGACTGGTTTGTATTATTGAACAGGGTCCCGGGGGCCTTGGGTGTGTTTCGGGATGGTGCCGGGTCATTTTGGGCTGTTTTGGACTGTTGTTGCTGGTATCTGCTTTCCTTCATCGCGAACGCGAAGGGTGTCCTGTGTTCGCGAAGAGGAAAGTTTAAGGTTGCTGAGTTCTGGTCTTCACGAACGTGACGTGGAGGTCGCGAACGCGAAGGTATTGCCTGAGGGACCTGTGCGAACGCGAAGGGGTAAACGCGAACGCATAGAAGAAAAAGGGGAGTTGGGCCTAAGGCCATTTGGCCTACGCAAACGCGTAGAAAGGAACGCGAACGCGAAGGGTTAGGGCAGTTGGCCTTCGCGAACGTGATCAGTAGGTCGCGAACGCGAAAAGGGATTTCTTCGAGGTTAGACAGAATACTTACTGGGTACGCATTATTTTCGTACTCATACTACATTTGCTGTACATTTTTGTTGTACAGGCATATGTAGGTCTAGTGGCCTTGTGGGCGCTGCAGCATGGCTTGATACGGAGACTTAGGTGAGCTGTATCTTATGAGATGATCCGCAGCCAACAGAGTTTCCTTCAGAGTATTTGTATTTTCTTTTCTGTCTAATTTGTATTCCAGACAGCTATTGTGTTTCATTTTATTTCCTAGTAATTGCTCATGCACTCGTGACACCGGGTTCTGGGATGATTATGAGATATTCAGTATTAAAATTGTAAACATTCTTATTTATTTTGTAAAGATTATCTTTTACTAGCTAAATCTAAAGATTACGCATTTTATTAGTAAACTATTGTTTGAGATGCAACAAAGTTTTACATAAGTTGAAAAATGAATTTTTTTCTTATCAAAAAGTTGAAAAATGAATTTTTTTTTTTTATAAAAAATAAATCACAATTATATAATACAACTCCTAAATTGTTTGCTTTCAAAAAATTGACAAAATTAAGAAATAATTCGCAGTACTATTATTTTTTCTGGAGCTAAGGGACTATCAGAAATAGTCTCTCTATCTTCTTAAGGTAGGAGTAGGTTTTTGGTAAATACTATCATCCCAAGACCTCACTTGTAGAATTACACTAGGTTTATTATTGTCCACGATACTATTATTCATCACCAAAAGAGATGATAAATATTGTTTGAAACATGTATCCTTTAAAACATTGTGTGCTTCATAAACACATAATCTATTAGTATTTTTTAAATTATAATATTTTATTATATAAAATTTCTCATTTTTTATTTTATTTTGCTTATTTATTGTTCCACTCTAAACTATCATAAATTCGCTTAGTTGGTAGATCATTTATCTTGATGCACGATTCTTATTATATAAGGGGTTTAAATATTTTTATAAAAATATAGGGAAGAAGGGGAGTGTATTGTAATTAAGCGACCATAAAATTTTAGGATATCCATAGTATATGAAGTATAAATGTTTGATATCGAA